CTTTACCATCACTACATTGTCAAAGCAAGCTGAATGCCAAGTATATCTTGCCAGTGTGGTGAAAATCTGTTGGGCGCATGCAGTTGGACAGTGTGTAGTTGTGATATGACTGGTAGTGAGTAGCCTAGATGGTTAAGCAACTGCTCTTTTGGTCATCATGGAGGGATCTCATCTGGTGTAGTTCTGAGCTGCTAATATTTAGTGATGAGCCAGTTAGGAAGGAACCTGCCCCAGGCGAGCTGCATGCTAGGTCTAACTGGCCTCATTGTCAGACTAGAAGATACTCAGGCTGCAGACATTCTCTGCAGTTGCACAAGGAGCAAGGTTTCTTTGCACTCATGGTTATGCTGGTCAGCAGAATAATTTTGCTCACGTGTGACCTCGGAGTCAAACTGGAGGTTATCCCATTGGATCTCTTGGAGTCAGGTTGCTGTCCATTCCTTTAAAAGCAGCATAGAAAGGAGTGGTGATTTGAAACCTATTCTCTCCTAAATAATTTTTCTGAGTCTGTCTTTCTGCTGGAGAGAAGCGGTTTTGGGAAGAAAGGTAGGAAAGGGGTTAGTCCCCCACTCCTGCACTCTGTCAGGCTGTTTTATAGAAATTGAGTTCATTCTCTGTTAGTTTTTAGTGTTGCCCTGTCTATGTTTGGCCCTTAAGTTCTTGGGCTCAGGCCTGAAGCTGTTGTGCTTAGCATACTTCCTTTGTGTTACTAATGATGGCATGCTTTTGTAGTTCTGGCCTGACCAACTTTAATGTTGAAACTTAGTTAATATTGTATACTAAATTCGTGTGAGGGCTTATGTCAAAACTACTTGTTTTCTTTATGCAAACTCTGTGATATTCCATTTTAAAAGAACTGCAATCAGACTGTTGAAAATTGGATTGAAATCACCTCTGAGGTTCTAGTTTAAAATACCATTTTTTTTTTTTTTTAAAGGAGGCGATTAAGAGTGAAGTGCATTCTATTCTTCGCAATACTTGTCTTCTGGCTCTGAATGCCAAGGCGTCTGTAGTGCAAATAGAGACTTTTGTTTTGTTTAGTAAAATTTCTCTGCTCAGTATTTGCATCAGTATAGTTCCCTCAAGCACAGAACTCGTATTTGTTTCATGTAATACAGTATGCAATAACAAAAATTGCTATAAGTGCCAAGAGTTAAGTTCTGTGTCTATGCAGATACTGCAGATCTCATCCAGTAGAGCACAAGGATGTCTAAAACTTCTAGCTGCAAAATAAATAGTTGAGTTCTTTTGTAAATAAATATTACACATCTTAGAACTTTTAAGATTCTGCAGGGGCTTATTATTTTGTATTAACTTATACTCCAAAACTGCCTTAGAAAATCCTATGTGCCATGCAAATAGGGTACTCAGCTGTTATGTTAGTATTCTAATGGCACACATGCAACTAGTAAATGGCAGTTGACCTTTTAATTTTTTATTTATTTTGCATAAATGTTTAAAACCATGATTGTGAGTCATTTGTTGTAGCATATCTGGACCCATTGGAGGAGGATACCAGCATAAGGCTGGCTGAGTCTGCTCACCTCCATTCCCAAGCTGGTCCATAGCAGTTCAGGTACTTTGGATAATGCTCGTAGTTCATAATTACTCACAATGGCCTGGTTTTACATAATGCTAACCCCATTTAATCCATGGTTTGTAGTTCCTACAGACCAGGCTTGTCTGGCTGATGTTTCTTCCTGTTCAAATGTAGGTTGTTTATTTCCCTCTTCTCTCTCCCTGCATCCTCAGAACTTTTGTAGTGCTATACTACTTGCTTGTTTATATTTTTAATCATTCTGTCCTATCTCCTTTGTACCCGGAAGAAACAACCCATGGTTTTGGGTTCACAGGTGGCAACCCAGAGTTCACAATCCAGGAACCAACAGTGGACTCTCTTTCTGGTTTGTACATGATTAAGAAGCCATGCTTGATGTAGCTGAGTTCACCCATCACAGCAGCTCAGCAAATCCATGGGATATTTTTATGTCCAAACCTGGCCAGCGAGTTCTTTGCTCATCAGAGCCCTTGAGAAGAGAGGGTTGGATATCTAATGTGCGAACTGCATATGGTCCTCGCTTTGTGAGATATGGCGGCAAACACTAGTTCACATACTCCCAGGACACATAAAATGTGTCTGTCACTTCTGAATGTGTAACCGTGAAATTTATTTTAATTAATTTCACTTACAGTAGGAAACTCATACATCTCAGGTTAAATTTACCTCTAAATATAATTTACTGTATTTCTTGGATATAAGATCTGCACTGTAAGTACTATACATCTTTGTGCTACTTGCGATGCTTCCCCCTCCCCCCAAAATAGACTTTGGTTTTCAGGTGTTGACAGAATTTCTTGGCTTTTTGCATTAGCTTTTCCCTGCAATGCTGATGTGAGGAGAGTCAGGAAAGCCTGGAAATCAGGGGTACTGATTCTACTTGTATGTTTTGTTATTTGTTTTTGATCTTGCTGGATTTAGCTGTGTTACAATTCCAACCAACACCCATTGAAACAGTTGTCTTTGTATGTGTTTATCCTTTAACCAGAGTAGAAACTTACTAGGGTGTAGCTTTCCCTAGCATACCAGACAAGATAGGCAAATATAGATATTTGTACAGTGTTCGGTTTTGCACATGTGAAAATAAAAATCTCAGCTGCCCACCCATTTATTTATTGTAGGGTGGCTTTATTGATGGATCTGCCAATCCCTGTGCACTGAGCAAACAAAAAAAGGTTTCCAAGCATCTGCCCCAGTCTGCCTTATGGCATTCAAATTATTATTTTTTTTCATTTTATTTGTACTTTGCCTTTCTAGCAAGAAAAATGGCACTCCAGCTGGCTAAAATTTAACTTTGGGTTTGAACTTGCCAAGTTCTACACACACTCAGGGCACTGTTACATATTATACTGGACATGAGAATGCCGCCAAAAGCAGCAGGATTGTGTGGAGGTCTCATCTCTGGTCCCTGCTTGAACTTGAGTATACGTTATGCCTTTTTTCTGCCTCTGCTCTTCTCCATGGAGCCAGTAGAAGCAGTGTTTACTCAAAATTGGAGTGAACATTTAAGAATATGCAGCATACCTAAAACCTTCTCAAGCTGCTCTGTTGAGGTTCAGTTAACAAAGAATAAGTCAGTATAGTATATTGGAAACTGCTTTGGTATCTGTCGAACTTGCAAAGTACCATTTATTAAAGAAAAAGTTGTTATTAAAGTATATAATAAATAGCATACGCATTTCTAAGTGCCTAATAAAATGGACTCACAAGTGGGCGTTTCCCCAAGGGTGGCAATGAGAGTTGCTTTTGTACTGTAGGCTACTCAATAACACATAATCAACTGATAAATAAACCTATTTAAAAGTTGTTCTTTAGCTTAAGCTACCCTGCTGGTGTTACCTATATCTAATTGTCAAATGTTTAAATAGTACTGAGGTAATTTCAGTATCTCTAATGCTCTAAATAATAAATCCTCACAACAAGTAGGAAGGCAGGAATTTTTCGTTTCTTTTCTGTCAGGTGCTCTTTATGCAACTTCAGTTGAGACAGACAGGAAAAGCAGATATGAAGGTATCACATGTATCTATTTTTGATGGCTTAAATCATGAGGCCCAGAGTGTGTTCCATTGACTGAGGGTACGATCCAGAGTTCTTAAAACATTTGAGTATCATCAGTGAATTCTGTTCTTTGGCCTTTTTCTTTTTTGAAAAAGATCATAACAACACTTTGATTAGTGAAAGGAAACTGTGTTCTTTTGGTTGCTTGGTTGATGTGTGAAGTCCATTAAAATATAGATCCCCCTTTTGAATCCTAACCTAATGTACTCCAGATGTTTTTCTGAGAGTTGCTAACTCTTTGTTAAAACATAATCGAAGCTGTTAGAATTCACCCATTTATCTGGTTTGGGCTGATATTACCGTTTGATGTGTTCAGACACCTGAGCTGGACCACAGCCTGACATCTCCTGGTGCAAAATTGCACCTTGATAAGACACATGATCTTTGGAAATATAAATTTTCTTGAGTTGTGTTAAATAGGAATTTGTATGCAGGCAGCTTCTCATTCCCTCATAGTCCTAGTAACACAACAGGAAAGTGTTTCTCAGTTTACCAGTAATCTATACAGAATAGTAGTTACTGCTTCTGCTAGTTTGCTAAGAACTAGCAAAGTGTCCTCCATTATACTGGTGGGATCTGTACTGAGGTAAGCTATTATACATTCCAGTGGTGTGGAACAAATCTTTGCTGGTTGATAGAAACCCTGCTGGGGGCAGGGGGAGCCACCCAGAAAAGAGTTTTGGGTCTTAACTGTTCCCCAGCACCTCTTCTGTCTGATTCCATCATCCCCCAGCAAGTCTGCAAGAGAACTGCTGACTTGCATATACACCATATAGGACTGAAGTTAATCCCTCAGCCTACACTTGGTTCCTTTTCATGATTGATTTCAGTTGCATTGAAGTAAAAATGTCTGTAATTCACTTGAGTTTTAACAGTTTTTACTATTGCAAAGTAAAAACAAGTACAGGTTAAAGGAGGAATATCCACCATTTGTTTCTCAGGAAAAGCAGAGTTGCTTAACACATGTGCGAAGATAACCTTTGCTCATTTTATTTAGTTGCATTTTCTTCTTGATACCAAGGGCCTTGTTCTTCTATTCTTACAGGTGCTATTATAACATAAATTCTGAATTCTTCACCACTTTGCTTGAAAAGTTTAAATCAGTCTGTTACTTGAATATTAATTATTAATTGATGGTGACCAGTTTTTTGTCCCTCAGTCCATTAACTGATGACCAGAAAAATGTTTCATACTTCATTCAAAGTGTTTTTTTGTGAACATCCTTTATTCTGTCCTTATTTAAACCTTCTATTATGTATAGGTACCACTTTATTGAACAATATCCTTTTAAAAATTGCAATCTATTCCTTGCTATAAAACATTGGATTATTACACTTAATGTGAGGAATCTTTCCTTAACATAGTTCCTCATTAAATTTTTCAGATGGGTTTTCTCAAGTTGCATCTCAGTTCCTAAGATGATGTTAGTCAAGAACTATGAAACGATTACTGTATGTTTTCAAGAGGTCCTGTCTCAATTCCATAGCTATGAAGCAAGGTAAGATAGGCTGCCAATAGCCAAACATAATGAAGGCTGGAAGTTAATGAGAAAGAAACTGAAAATTTGTCAAGCTACTTAAAATTCTTATGCAAAAGAAGGGATGCAAACCATGGTGTTAAACACATCATTATGCCTTTAGTGTTTTTTGAAACCCCGGCACTTTTTTAAAATGGCTGTTGCTTGCCTAGACTTGCCACAAAAGGGAGAAGAGATGGGACCACTTCTGCCCTATGCTGCTGTTTCATGAAAAATCACCTTCTTCAAGCTGCTGTTTGCCCTGAAACAGTAAATAACATAAAAGATGGTGATTCTTTTAGCAAGCAAACAGCACTGGGTGACTCCCCCCCCCACACACACACACACATACACACTGTGCTTGTTTTCTGGATTGAGATCTTCTCATAGCTGCTGTTTTTCAAAAGTGAAATGACAGTGTTCAACATTACATCTAGTTTACATCTACCTTGAGTAGGTTTTCTACTATTACGCATAGGCAGTTGAAGGGGAAGTGACTGTCATCGAGAGGAACACCTGAGGTTCCTTTTCTCAGCAGTGAACAATATTAACACAGCCTTCTGCTCGACTAGAGAACTCCTCTGGTAAGCTTTGGGAAGGAAAGCACTATTTTGAACTGTCAGTCATATTTTTGTTTTAAAATTTTGAATTACCTACTTCCACCCCTTACAGTTAATGCACACTTACCGTGAATTCAAATACTTTTTTGTGCATTTCTATACAAATCCATAATGGGTGAAAGTATTACAAGATGACGATTCTTATTGTGTTCATTTTATACTACCCCGTAGACAAAGCTCTCTTTTTATGTATTTCTGTGATGAGGGGATTATAAACAATAATATCTTTAAACCTCCTTATTCGACTTACCGTTTGTCTTGGAGCTATGCAATTTTGGGTTGTGTACTTTTCTGGAAAGGGCTATATAGACAGGAGAAATTCCTTTTAAATATGTGTGCTTCCTACAAGGGCAGCCCACAGGGAGTTAGTGAAGTAATTGTGATTCGGTGGCAACACTCACTGGTTTGCATCCTGTTGACGGTTTAGCATTTCCAGTCAGAACGACAAGCTTCGGGTCAAAAGGCAGCTCTGCATTTGTTTCAGGCGAAATGACTTAACACAGATATGTGTAGGCAGGCAGACTGGCTTGTCATATTTCGTGTTTGGGCTACAAGTTCTTGTGAACATATTGTAAGATCAGCACATTAGCCTCTGGACAAATAAGTCCTTTGTGAGGTTTGTTGTATTGGTATTGCTTTATTAGTATTTTGGTCAACTTGAATGAAATTCATAGTAGTTATGCTCTGACGTTCGTGTTAATCCGAAAATTACAATCCAGAGAAACTTGATACACATCTAAGCTTTGTTGAAATAAATGGAAAAAATACTGTAAGTTTATATATGCACCTCTTTTAATGAGATATGAACACACCTAATTTTCTTTCTTTCAGCCCTTTTCAGATGGGCTCAAAAAAAAAAAATTAGATTTAAATCTCTTGGTTCTTTTACTGATTGAAAGATGTATTCGATTCTAGGTTTTACGTTTTTGTGATTTTGTTCACATGCAGCCAGCCAAAAGGTAATTCAATGTTTCTTATGCTTCCAACACATACACAGTGTGTACTAATAGCAAACAGGTTATTTAAGGAAACGTACAATTTTGTACTTGTCAAAAGTGGCCTTTTTTGGGAAAGCACACAGTATATAGATTAACATTGTGTTGATGTGTAATTTCAGAGGATTTTTCTTTTTTGTATTGACAGAATTTATATGCATTTTTTTCAAGCTAATAAGCTCTTTCTTTAGAGGTATACAGGTTAAACGGGCCAAAAGTCTACATTTCCATTACTCTCCATATGTATTGCGAATAGCTCCATGTTCTTCATCACTGGGGAATGAACACAAGGACCATTCTCTAGCAGTGAAGAATTATTATTATTAATATTATTATATTACATTTCTAGAGTGGACTGCCTGCTACCACAGGATTTGTATACAATATGAGCTTCACAAAGTGTTTGGTTAGAACTATTGCTTTGCAGATTATGAGGCTCTTAATCTTTTTTTTTAATATCCATATAAGCAGGATAGTTTATTGTAGGCACAAAATAAAACTTTTAGACACTAGTTGTAGAGAACAATCACAGAAGCGCTTGGGAGCTGATGAGAGAGATTTGTAGCTGAGGGGTTGGGTTGCCAGACCCCAGCAATTTAGACAAACAAGTTGTTGCTGTACATGACACAAATGTATAAGATTTAGTCTGTTCATCCATTGATGTTTACAGTTTAACTGCTGGATTTTGGAAAGCTCTTTTTTTGCCATAGCTGCAGTTATGAAGCTGTCTTTAATGTTTAACATGAACCATCCAAAATCACTAATGAGGTGGGGATTGGAATTTGACAAGAAGCCCTAAGTGTACGAAGTTCCATATGTGGATATCTTCCATGAGTTAGTGCACAATTTATTTTAGTCAGTGGATTTCATTAGATGTAGTTTGAGAAAAGGTTCGTTCAAATTGCAAGCTGAATAATTAAATGATTAATGCGGGAACATATTTCAGGGCTAATTGTAACAACGAGATACGGATGTATCTTAAGTTCTTTGTGCAATGCGACAGTACAGTTGTTTGCAATTCTAAAACTGTAAATTGCCAATATTAATAATACCCTTGACGCTGTCAGCACTAATACAATATCCTCTGCAAACTGTAAAGGAAGTGTTACTTTTGTTTTGTCAACGCGGTTTGTTCAGGTGTCATACTTCTCCACAGTGAACTCCTAGAAATTAAATACACCATCATACTTGTTGCCGAAGATTAAACTAAAATGTGAAAATATAGGTAGGGATTATGAAGTGCCATAGAAAATAGTTTTGTATGGAGTCAGTCCCAGACAGGGGACTTTCTACATTGACTGACAGCAGCTTTCTGAAGATCTCAGGTTGACTTTGCCAGCTGAGATTCTGTCACCACCTGCCTAGAAAATCATGCAGGAGGAGTTTCATGGAGCTCTTCCTAGAAAGCTGCTATTTGTGTACCTACTCCTTGTTTACCTTTTGCAATTTATTGACTAGTGTTGGTCTGCATACTACGGTCGTTTTTCCCGTCATGGAGTGAACCCTATCCCCATAATTGCTTTCCCTCCCCACAAAAATAAGTGATTCAGAACTAGCAAAATCTGCCAAAGGATTCCCAATCAATAGGATTCCCTATTGTTATGACATCTGAACAAATCTATAGTTAACTGTGTGTAGCTTGTTTGGGGGTTTTGTCCTTTTTTTGTGGCTTAAGGGATGCTTTAACCCTTAATAACCTGGACTTCAAAACAGAATCTATATAAGAACTGCTATGAATGTTGTGCATGCTAACTTGTATGGTTATATTTGAAGAAAATAATGTGCAATTTTAACAGCACTTTGTGATCGGTTAGTAAAACTGGGCTTTGCAATGGAACATGTGATATTAATGCGTAATGAATAAGTAGTGTTGTCTGTACTGTTTGTATATCCTTTTCAAGTGTTTCAGCAATGACTTTTTCATGGGACCCTGATAAATCACACTTAATTTTTATTAATTAATTTTGAGAAATGGTGGCTCGATCCAGTGATACACCCACAGAACTCAATAACTGCAGGGGCTTCCCCATCGTAAGACAAGTGAAATGCTAATAATTTAACAATAGTTACAGAACTGCTCCAGGGCTCGGGGAAGTCCAAACCATTAGGCAGTGTCCATTCTTTCTGTCTGTCCAAATAGGAACGCTTCAAAAGCTTCTGGAAAACTTTCCCTGGGATAGAAAAGTTGCTTGATTTGAGCACTGTGGGGGCACCATCAACCCCCCCCCCCCCGCCACATACTGCTCTGCCTTTTTTGTCACTCTTCAGTCATGGAACAGATGAGAGCTCTGCATGAGTCAGAAGGTTCAGGGTGCTGGATCATGCCCCGTGTATGCAAATTGTTTGTTTTAGGATCGTCTCGTCTGCCCTTGTGTTCACCAGTTCGTTTTCATGGAAGATCTGACATAACAGCAATTTTTTAAAAATTAGAATTACTTTATTCACATTTGTATACTTTTGAGGTTTACATATTCTAACAATGCGAAAAAAGGATACAAAATGGTTCATGGAATAAGTAGCACTTTGTTTACATGTTCTGTATAATGTTGGGCAAATAAAGGGTTTTTAATTTTTTATTTTAATTTAAAGCACATGGATTGTGCTGTGGGGGCTTCGTAGCCACTGTGCAAATTGTGGCGTAATATTGTACTAAGGATCAGTGAAAGTGTGTTATCTTTTTTAATGTAGTTTGTATTGATCGGGTTTTATAAAATGTATGAAAAAGAGTGTTGTATTTTGATCTGACATTTGTGTATGGTAAAGTCACTTTGCTTTATGTTTTGGAGGTTTGTTGAAAACTTGAACTATTTTATAGAAGGGTGCAGACCAAAATTGAGTTGTCTTGAAGATGTTTAACGAACTAACCAAATAAACATTTTATGGTTTGCATACATTTCCTTTGAATGAAACCTTTTCTTGTCATTTACTCCTTCAGAAATAAAAGGGAGACATTGAATACAGCCTGGAAAGGGAATTGAGGTAAATGAGATTTTTTGTAAATGGTCCCGGTCATGAAAGGAGCCTTAAAGAATACGTTGCGGCTGCATGGAGGCCCAGCACCTTTATTCTGAGGGGCTTGTTCAGTGTTCTCCAGATGATAGCCTAGGAACAGAAAGTACTTTACTTCTCAACCTGCTAAAGCCTCTATAAATAAGTCAGTGCAACTATTGTAAAGAAGGACTTCATAGACATGGAACATGTTTGTTCAGGCCTGGCCACAGCATTCCATACTGTGCAAGCCTATAGATCAATCGGTATAAAAAACTAAACCTGCAGTGAATTAACAGTCCCAATTAAAATGCTTAAGAAGCCCCAAGTTTTATTTTTATCTGTTAGATATGTTTTATCAAAAGAAGAACATGAATTCTGCACGTACCTCATAGAAAAAGGGCAAGGTTCTGATAGGGCAAAGAAGAATGGCAAATTTTATTTATTATATTGATATCTCATTTTTTACCCTTTCAAGGAACTGAAGGGGACTTGCATACTTCTCAGTTTTATCCCTACAACAGCAACTCTGTGAGGGAGGTGAATGGCCCAAAGTCACCCAGTGAGCTCCATGGCTGGATGGGGACTAGAACCCAGGTTGCCTGAGTCCCAGACCACACTCATGACCACAACGCCACTCTGCCCTTCCTCAAATCTGACACTCCTGCTGGTGCAACTTTTCTGTTGAGGCTGGGTTGATTTTAGCACAAGGTAGTGACTAGCTGAGAGTGACAGGTTCATAGGATATTGCAACCTATTAATGCGTACCTGGGCATGGTGTGCTCAGGGGTCAGACTAGATGGCCTGAGAGGCCCCTTTTGACTCGCTGTGTTTCTACGTGTTGTAATGTCATCTTGATACCAGACCATCTCCAACAGGGTGGCTTATTTCCAGGCAACAAGTCAGTGTGACAACCCATAGCTTGCTCCAGGGGTTGGTTGGCTAATAGCAGGGCAGGTTGTTGTGTCATCTGGACCACGTAGTTTCAAGTCCCTCAGGAATTGTGGGGATCGGCTAGGAAGCCACTCAGCAGCAGCAGGAATCTCACTTGGGCCACCCGCAGTGACATTCTGTCCAAGAGTCCAGGTATAAGTTCCATTGGTGCTCGATCCCCTTTTGGTCTGTCCCATTTTGCCACCACTAAAAGGTTGTTTTTTTTAATCCTCTGGAAAATGTGTATGTTTAAAAAAAAAATAAAAACCTGGAAAACAAATGCAAATTCATGGTTGAGAAGTAAAAGGAGGGGAACTTCATGGTCTATTTAATAGAGTTCAGTGCCATTGTTTGCCACACACATTTGTTCTACACACGTGTAAAAGCTAGATCCGTGGTCCATCCAGCTCTAAGCACTTGTAAAAATGTTTAACTGGTTCAGTAGGAATAGTGGTAGAGATTCACATTCAAATACTCATTTGAATGAGTATTTCACTCAGGGAGAACTGCAGTGTGGAGACTTGACATAAAAATTTGGATGCAATTTCTAGTACTGAAGCGATGTTCTTATAGAAGTATGTTTTTATGCATAGATCCCTGTATTTCTGATGTCTGGGAGTCCCAGTTTGCTTACAATGCACAATCTAAAATACGTTAATCAAAACAATGCCACAAATCCTCTCCTCCCCCTCCTTGATTCTTTAAATAATAATTTTAAAAATCAGACAAGTAAAGTAGAATTGACTTTAACATGCATGTTGTGCCCTGAAACCAAAAGGTGGATTCAAGATAATTGCATCACCCGCCCCACCCCCAAAGAACATCTGTCATCACCCATGAATTAAAGCAAAGCAGTCCTCCTTTTCCCTTTTGAAATAAAAAGCTTTTCTCCCCTTGCACATAAGGAATATAATGAAATAGCAGGGAACTGACAAGCTGAAGAAATGTTATTCGCCTCTGAAGAGCATTTGGAAATGGTGGTGTGGAGATGGCCCGTGGGTAAAAATTGCTCTTTCTCTCTCCCTTGTCTTGCCTCTTTGAGAGAAGCTGGAGAGAATGTGAATGAAGGGGATGAATGGGAAGGAACGCGGCAAGTAGTGCATTGACAGAAATGAAAGAGATGCTGGGGTTGGTCTGAGGACACACGGGATGCGTCTGAGCTTCTTTGGAACATGTGAGGGAACGGCCTGCAGCTCCCCGCACGTGGAGGTAGTGTAGCTCCGGCAAAGCCTGCGCTGTAGCCTAGATCCTTCTTCTGACAGCATCTAGCATTTCAAAGCATAGTGGTACTTTGTGACTCCCCGCCGCAGACACAAAATTAGCTTTATGGTTATTTATAGCAGCTGCAAAAGCTGCTCTGCTCGGGTTTTCTGAGCAGGATTGCATGGCAAAAAATGGAAACAAAGACCCACCTTCCCACCCCCTCTGGATTCCAGCAGTCAGTCGCATCGTAGAGGATGGAGGTGGGACACTGCTGAGAGCTCAGCTTGTCCAATCTGCGGGTTTACCTGGAACACCACAAAGGGGAGATGAAACACGTGAAGCCCTGAGTCTTTCTTTCCATCTGCTTGCATGAAATTCCTCGGATTTCCTAGGAGGGGAGGTCAAGGGCCGTAAGCGCCCTGAAATTTTCTCAGTGAGGTGCTTCCTTTGTAAATGGATGCTCAGCTTACATGTGCCTCATTCACAAACAGCCTTCATTGACAAATGGGTGCCGTTTCTAAACTGACGGAGAGAGGAAATTGGATCACGGTGCCCTTAACTGTTCATACCACACTAGGTGCATTTGGAATGGCTCCTTTCCTTGAGGCTGGGGTGCAGAAAGTCATGTGGTTTCCAGGCTTGTGCGATTTCCACGCTTCTCCATCGTACACCCTCAGCCCCCATGGTTCAAAGTTAATCCCAGGGTGCACTGCTCCTGCCCACCATGCCTGCTGCCCCTCACTGGTCCACATGCTCCCCTGGGCCTGAGCTCAGCCACCTGCTCCTGTCTGTCAGCCAAAGCAAGCACTTGCTCGCTAGACTAGCACTGTTGCTCTGAAGGAACGCTCCCCATGCACGGGACTCTCACATGCTGGGAGGGGTGGCCTCCCCCCACAGCCAGACGTGCCCCCCAGCCACTCCCCACGGCCTGCTCTCCTGCAGCACCCCCTCAGAAGCCCTTCCCCCCTTCACCTGCACTGCCACACCTGGGGGCTGCTGGCCTTGGCACCCCCTCCCCCTTCACTGAGCACTGCCCCCACCCCTCATCCAGCCCCCTCCCCGCCCTCCCCAGCAGAGCCACGCAGGGCCAAGGACATCTTGCTTCTGCAGCATCGTGGCCTGCTGAAAACATGCCAGGCCTTAATAGAAACGGGCTGCCCCTCTGGCCGCACACGAGCCCTGCGGCTCCAGACTTGTGCGCACATACTCCCTCTCCCCCACAACATCCCTCCCCACGCTGGCCTGCCTCCAGGTGCCCTGCTTCCGCCGCTCACCATGCCTGGCCCTGCCCACCCTGTGACTGCACGGACACATGCCAACACACCCATGTGCACGAGCTGCTTGCAGGACTGCGCTGGGCGCTGCGGGTGAGGAAGTCTCTGCACCACGGCCCCTTCCACCACCCCTACATGGCTCTGCAGGACAGACCGGTCGACCCAGGAGCTAGACTCCAACATGGCTACTTCCAGGAAGGAGGCTGGCATCCGCACTGGGATGGAGGTTCTGTGGGTGATTCCCCCAGATCCACTAGGAAATCGCAGTGCAGACCTCCCATGCTTCACGCTTGGTTCAGAGAGCACGGGGGTTGCATGTGGCTGCCATCCAACACCACACTGTCCCTATCTGCACCTGGCCTTGGTGGTTCCAGGTTGTCCTCCAGTAGACCATCACATAGATCCTGTGCATGCCACGATCATGTGCAGCATGATGGCCTTCTCCACACCTAGCAGGGTGTAGAGAGTGTACAGGGACCACCGCCATGCCTTCAGCTGCCCAAGGATGCTCTGCACAAGCAACTGTGTCCAGCTGTGGTTGTAGTTGAGGTTCTTCTGCTGGGTGGTTCTGAGGAAGCAGTAAGGGACCATCAGCCATGGCTGCAACGCCACCATAATTGGGATGGATGGGCTTCCTCACATGAGCACGAGGGGCTGCAGAAAATGTCTCTCTCCAGCTGGTCTCCAAGGGTGAGTTCCAGAGGATAGCCATGATGTGGCTCTGGCTGGACACACATCCTGGATGCGAACACATCCAGGACCTGCCTCGTAGTTCACCATCGCCTGCTCCCCCTCGCAAACCTCCTTGAAATGTTCTTCCAGTCAGTTGCTGTCTTCTTTACTGGATCCTGCACTCTGATCACTTGGCCGTCTGCATTCTATTGGCGGAATTAAAAGGTTTTGTTTGACTTCCCTCCCAAGATTTCTGGCTCAGTCCTACAGAGAAACTCAACTGTGGAGGGACAGCATCCACCCAGAAGGTTCCCTGCACAAGCCTCGTGGAAATCAGCGGTGTCATTGCATCCACAGTGACGAGGACCTCTTGGAGAAAGAATGCTTCCGTTTGTTGTGTTCTGAATCCTCACGTCTCTCTTTTAGCATATAATTTTTGATGTTTTCCAGATTTGCCCGATGCCGGATGCCTTCTACAACTCATCTCCAACCATGGCTGTGCTAGCTGTGGATGCTGGGAGTTGTAGTACAACACAGCTGGGAGGCATCAGGGGAAGGGACCCTGCCTTCTACTCTGGCCTCAGGCTGGGAACCCTTTTCCATTGCCACAATGCCAAACATGAAGGAAGCCGGTTTCCCTCCCTCTCTTTCTCTCTGTTGTATTTAAAGTACTTTCAGGTCACAGCACAATGTCCTGTCAGTATGACTTACAAACATAATACAAATTCAAGGATTAAGGGAAGCATAAATACACACTTAACTATTTCAGCTGTTCATTAGTTCCATAAATTAGCACAAGCTTTTGTGGGTTATAATCCCCTTC